GAAACGCAATCATTTAGCCAATAGCCAGCCCACTCAGATAAAACTGTGATGATGTCCTCCTATCCAGTCCAGTGCATGTTAGGTCTCAGCATGCTCAGCCTCTGTGATGCCAAGCAAGTAATGAGAGAAAGCTAAGGCTGCTGTTCAAGATGGATGATAAGAGAAGCCCCTTCCAATCAATCATGGAATCAACAGAGACTCTGGATTCTCAATACATCAATGATTAAAGAAAGGAATGTTTCTGTCTTATTAAGATGGTGTCAGAAGTGACCTAGTAGTGAGGCAGGCAGTTAAGAACACCTGCTGCTCATCCCAAGGACCTGAGTTCAGTCCCTCGTACCCTCATTGGGTGACTCACAAGCATGTAACTACATGTAACTACAGCTCTAGAGAATCCAATGCCCTTTTCTGGCCTCTGGGGGCATCTGTACACATGTGCACACAAACACACAAATAAATGAAAACTAAGAAATAAATCTTTAAAAAAATAATTAAAAGAATGCAGAGTTAAACTACAATTTAACTACATACTGCTAATAAGGATCTCATTTCAAATGTAACAGTATAGGTAGAATGAAAGTAAAAGAATAGTAAAAGGTATATGTCACGTAAACACTAATCAAAAGAAAGCTAGGATGAATATAGTAATAATACATGAAGTGAACTTCAGAGCAAAGAAAATTACCAGAGAGACATTATATGATAAAAGAGATAGGTGCAACAAGAAGAGATAGTAGTGCTAAGTATATATGGACCAACCATAAGGCTTCAAGGTATGTGAAGTCAAAGTGAGAGAACAGAGAAAAATCAAAAGATAGTCACACTGGAGCTGTCAACGGACTTTAAACGGTTGGTGGAACAAGGGGATGAATCAGCAGGGATGTAGGAGGACTTAATGAACTACCAATGTGAGTTGAGATATAGGAGGACTTAATGCCACTACCAATGGGAGCTGAGATATAGGAGGACTTAATGCACTACCAATGTGAGTTAAGATATAGGAGGACTTAATGCCACTACCAATGGGAGTTGAGATATAGGAGGACTTAATGCCACTACCAATGGGAACTGGGATATAGGAGGACTTGATGCACTACCAATGGGAACTGGCTTTTAGAATAATCTATACAACAAGGCAAAACACACAAATATTTTCAAGTTTTATTTCATTCTATTCTATTTTATTATTGTTGTTTACATGTGCATATAATGTGTGCGTGTGTGCATGCATGTACACATGCTAGTACATGTACCATGGTGCATGTGTGGAGGCCAGCGGACAAATTGTTCAAGTTGTTTCTCTCTACATATCCTTATGTGGGTTCTAGGGACCAAATTCAGGTGTCAGGCTTTCAAAGTAAGCTTTTCACCCACTGAATCATCACATTGCCGCATAACACATCCTTTCAAAGCACATGCTAAGATACACCAATACAGACCACACACTGACCATGAACAGAAACCTCAAAAATATAAACTTATTTAAGTTATGCTGTGTTCTTTGTTTACAATGGAATGAAAGTGAAATTGGTAGCAGAAGAATAACAGGAATTGACTGTTCTCTCATAGCAGTTCTAAACAAGGCACACCCTTCTTATACCCATCGGGCTCACAGAGGACATCTCCTGTAAAATGAAGGAGAAAATGGACACATTAAATATATGACACGTTAAAATGTATATGGAAAGGTTAAAGTAAAACTGGGAGGGAAATTTTATAGCATGTATTTAGAAAAGATTCAAATCAATTATTGGGCTGGAGGGACAGCTCAGCCGTTAAAGGCTAGGCTCACAACCAAATCAATTATCTAAGCCTTCACCTTAGTTAAACCTTCACCAGAAAAAGAGCAAATTAAACCTATTCAAGGTTAAAAAAAAAAAACCCAGAAAAGTTATGAAATAATGAACTGATTTTTAAAAAAGTATCACTAACTAAAATTGACAAATATCTAGAAAAACTTGTAAAGAAAGAAAATGAAAGCCACAATGACCAGTATCAAACACTAGAGACATCAAATGGATAATTAAAAAAAAAACTCCAAACAATTCTACATGCATAAATTTGCCACTTAGAAACTCCCCAGTTCCCAGAAAAGCAAGAAAACACAAACTACCACTATTTTCTCAATATGGAATTAACAAATAGGATAGCTCTATAATGGGAGGTGAGAGAGAGAGACAATATGAAGGAGAAGGAGGAGAAATAAAGAACACTAAGGATGATTGAGATAGCCATAGGGAATTACATTATTTTATATTAACCTAAAATTATATAAAGTATGTCTAAGTTTATGTGATCTCTCTCTCCATATATATATGAAGTTATGGTTATGCCATTTGGGAAGATAACGTCTCCCCCAAGAGCCACAGACTATCAAAAATCCCAGCACCAATCATGAGAAACCTCCTTTAGAGCTGGCCAGGGGGCTCCAAGAGACTCCCCAAACAGTAACAATGTGCTGTTACCCTTGGTTGCTTCCCAGAAACTGAAGGTAAGACCCTGTTGCTAAAGACATCACCAACTCTGGACACAGGACTTGAAGGATTCAAGCTTGATCTGATCCAAGAACTCCCTTTTGAGGATGAGCTTGCATAGTATCAGAAGGTGCTATGCAAGCTGCCAACAGAAGAAAGCAATCAATTGTCCTGTCCCACTGTGACATCTATGTCAGGTGACCGGGCAAGATATCCTTAAAGGTACAATAGTGGCATTTACATTTTG